GTCTCTGCTTTTCACGATGCTGTCCAGATTTGTCATCGCTTTCCTCCCAAGAAGAAGGCGTCTTTTAATTTCAGGGCTGCTGTCTCCATCTGCAGTGATCATGGAGCCCAGGAAGATAAAATTTGACACTGCCTCCATATCTTCCCCTTCTATTTCCCAGGAGGTGATGGGACCAGTGGCCATGATCTTAGTTTTTTTGATGTTGAGTTTCAGACCGTTTTTTGCACTCTCCTCTTTCACTCTCATTACAAGGTTCTTTAATTCTTCCTCACTTTCTGCCATCAGAGTGGTATCATCTGCATATCGGAGGTTGTTGATATTTCTTCCGGCAATCTTAATTCCGGCTTGGGTTTCTTCCAGTCCAGCCTTCCGCATGATGTATTCTGCATATAAGTTAAATAAGCTGGGGGAGAATATACAGCCTTGCCGTACTCCTTTCCCAATTTTGAACCACTCAGTTGTTCCATGACCAGTTCTAACTGTTGCTTCCTGTCCCACATATAGGTTTCTTAGGAGATGGATAAGGTGGTGAGGCACTCCCATTTCTTTAAGGACTTGCCATAGTTTGCTGTGGTCCACACAGTCAAAGGCTTTCGCATAGTCAATGAAGCAGAAGTAGATATTTTTCTGGAACTCTCTGGCTTTCTCCATAATCCAGCGCAAGTTAGCAATTTGGTCTCGAGTGCCTCTGTCTCTTTGGAATCCAGCTTGTACTTCTGGGAGTTCTCGGTCCACATACTGCTGAAGCCTACCTTGTAGGATTTTGAGCATAACCTTGCTAGCGTGTGAAATGAGTGCAATTGTACGGTAGTTGGAGCATTCTTTGGCACTGCCCTTCTTGTCATAATTCATCCTCTGTTCCAGGCAGACAAGAGTGTGGACATGTGTTCAAACGTACCACACGTCCAAACGGAGAAAAGTGCATGGCTGAAGTCAAAACCTCAGTGACAGTCTGTCCAATTAGCATTATCAGGCAAAATGTTAGCAATTAAGAAGATCTACAATTGGCTAAGAGGAAGGAGTGATTTATGCTCTCTAAGCTGAAATTGTTCTATTGCTATGGAAATTTCTCTTTTATTCATTCCCTTAAACAATGAAAAATGAAACAATATGTAAGAAAATTAAGCCAAGAAACTCCAATTAGTTCTGAATGCCATCTATAAAAAGATTATGAGACAAAAAGAGCCTTAACGTTTTCTATTCTTTCCTATTGAGCCAAACAGGCGAGGTATGTTTTTCAAGCCATCATGGGTATTCTTTCATGGGAAACTATATCTCTCTATGCAATGTGGCCCTACTTCCCTTAAGTGATACTCCTATGGTATCACTAGCACCCTATTTCCAAGCTGTTTTCGCATTCTAAGATGAAGCGGTAGGGATTACAACTAATTAAGCTCACAAATAAGCCTATAACTATTATTATATTCTTCCCTCATATATACTTCATTTAGACCTAGAAGAGAAAAAAACAGAAAGCGAGAAACTTCTCTGAAACTTCCTAGACTTCTTTATAGAGGCAATTCTTTCTCTTGTCTTACCCAGTTTAACCCTCAATTATCAAATAAACTCTGTGTTAATTATGCCTTTTTCATTTTGAAAGTCCATTACTTTTTTTCTGAAAATCTTAGGAAAAGGGTCTCAAAAAAACAATATAAATACAGGACCAGGTGATACCTTTATCAGACCACTAAAAATATCAAGAAAACAGCAATGATAATTCATCTTCCTCAGGCTGTGCATTTCTTTTTATGTATCCCATTTCTCTTGATCCCTAACCCCACAACCCTGTATATTGTACCGTATTTCCCCTTCTCTGTTTATCATGGTTTGGTATGCAGAGATGTACAAGGAAGTCCTACTGAGTTCATATGGTTAATAGCAGCTCTATGCCTATGGTGTATTAATTACTAGTCCACACACTGGGCCTGGTTAAAGCTTGAATGCATTGCCACGCATTCATTGTTAAAATGAATGCGTGGCACACCATCAGGAATCTCCTGCCTTTATTCTGCTTCATTGACTCTTGCTTGGAGGCAGAGATATAATGACCATTGTGCTTCATATTGGCTGTAATTAAATGTTATCAGCAAATGTGGAGCAAGAGTATAGTGGCCCTTGGGCTAACAGCCATCTCAGAGTTTGAAGAAGTTAACATTCTGGACCACAAATCCCTGAATCCCACCTGCCAACATTTCTGTTGTCCAAAAAGTAACCTTTCCAAGGTCTTGTGGTAGCTAGTTCCATGAATTAATTGTATCCTAGGGTGAGAAGCTTTCTACAAAACAGACTGACACAGAAGGAAGTGGAGTAATCTGTGTTTTCTCCGCAGCTACAGTATGGGAACTAGGCAGGCTGGTATAGAACAACTGGAATAATCCACCCCTCCGTCACCACCCTCTGCAATAGCTTGCATCAAATTTCGAGTCACCATGGCTACCAAATAAGCTATTCAATACAAGGCTGCTCTAGCTGTATTTTTTTCTTCTGGCATTTCAGGTTACAGAAATAATCTGGAAAATGTAGTAGGGGTTCAAGAATAACTAGGAGAAGAAAGAAAAACGAAAATAGCATTCTTTAGTTTTGATTTTAATAACGTAATGGTACTTTTAGGATTTGCAGTGTGAAGTCAATGTTTTCCAGACTTGTGACTAAGAACATAGCATAACATCAGGCATCCAATATATTGTGACTCCAAAAAATATAACCTTACATGCAATTGTGGTAGAAAAATGTAAATTCTACAGCACAGACTCTTTACAACAGGCACATTGTTTATATACCAGCTGCATCCTAAAATAGACAGGTGTAGAAGACAAATCATTTACATCATCCCCAGTGCGGGGACGATGTAAACCCTGACATGCAACAAATTCTTCTGTGCAACTCTTCAGGCATTTGACACTTGTATACGTTCAAAGCCCAATAACGGTGTAGGAGGACTGAGTGTCTGGCTCTCTCCTCCCATCACAGTTTTCATGTGGAAGATTACTTCCACTGGAGAAAGTTATCCACAACTGGTTCACACATGCTTGTTCACATCACTTATCACTCAAGGAGTGGTCACATCTATGTAGTGGACAAGGTCCATCTGTGAATTGTCCTATTATCACTCCAGGTATATGGGAAAAATAGTATTCTAAATTAATAAAGCTTAAGTGCTACAACAGGCAAGGTACAAAATATAAAAACCAGGCAGCTTGCAACATCTCCCTTAACACAGTGCTTTTTGATTGCAGGTTTGAGCAGTTTCATTTCCAGTTACATGAAAAATTAACCATATGCAGGCTAAATTCAGACATCCCTTCAGAATTCTACACCTAAGGGAAGTTTTAAGTTTTCTCATCTTGGATACCACAGAATTTGGTCAGGAATCTCAAGAGTATGTTTTGTATCAGTTAATGCAAAAGTAATAAAAACCTTTATTGTTTATTATATTTTTAGAAATCAGCTGTTGTTTCATCTACAGAATAAGCTACCTAAGGCAACAAGATGATACTGTATAACACAAAAGTTGCAGAAATTTGGGGATATGAAAAAGTAATTTCTGTAAATAACCAAGTAGATCTTTAAGTTGTATCTTTTTATGTGCCAGAGCAGAACCAATTTTGTAGCTACTCTTCCCCAATCCAGGCCCTTCCAGATGTTTTGGCCTACAACTACATCATATCTGACATTGTC